TTTTGGCGATCTTTATATCCACAAAAAGGTATTGACACGCCCCACACTTCTGTATACTTAATTTTGGCTTAACATATGTCGAACTAAAAACATAATTCATGGAAGAAGCCTAACATCTAACTTTTCCCATTTTGCCCTTTGGCTCCAAAACACAAACCAAGGGCTTAGATCATATAAGCAATATAATGAACATCCAATAAGGTCTAAATCATATTCCCTTGGAGTCGAAGGTCTTTATTTGATCCATTAATTACCCATAATTTGAAAATAAGAAAATTCTTGAAATACGATGTTACAGGGAGAAAGATAGGAATTCACACAACGTTGAAGAACACGTAGAAATGAATTTTAAGATGTAACAGTACCCCAAAACCTTCCATTCTTGGGTCGCTACTATAAAACTTTTAAACGCGTCAAAAAACCAACCTTCCATTACTTGTATCTGTACAAAGATCTTGGTAACTCATAAATAAAAATACAAAAAATACAAATATTACTTTATACCTTCTAAAAAGTTATTTTAAAATGTGGTGACTTTTTTTGAACCTTTAAAAAATATAAGTATTTCGATATTCATATATAAAATTAATTTTTTTTATAACTTATAAAAATAAATAAATAAGGCTTAGGAAACATTTTTTATTTTAATACTAGGTGCAAGACGTATGTATTATAAGTGTTAATTTAAAAAATAAATAAACAAAAATGAAATTCTAAACATTTGTGAAGTTTGAATTTATAAGAAAAACTAGTTTATAACCCATAGACCCATAGTAACAAAATGAATTAAATTAAAAACTAACAATTATTAATCAATAATTTTAAATAAATTATTTTAAATAAATTAATAATTAACAGATATTTTTAGCTACATATAAATCTAATAGTTGATTTAAATAAATATGTGACCTTATAATTTGTATTAAGTTTATTTTAATTTTGATTCTAATGTTACTAATTTAATATAATTAAAGTGAGACATTTATAATTTATAATTTGAAATAGATATTTAATATGTTGACATGTGGCATTATATGAATTAGAACGTTTAATATGGTGACACATGACAAAAGGAGAATAAACATATTATTTACTAGTTTATAGGTGTAGGAATCAAAATTACAAAATTAATTAAACCTTCATAGTAAAAACTCAAAATTATGAATCAGCTATTTTAAGTAAATTATTAATTAAGAGATATTTTTTAGTTATATACAATTATAATCTTTGATTTAAGTAAATAAGTGAAATCATATCAACTCATAATTTGTATTATACTTATTTTAATTTTTATTTTGATGTTATTAATTTCATTTAATTAGATTGAGAAATTTAAATTTTGAAATTTGAAATTAATAATTAAGATGTTGACTAGTGACATAACATTAATTAGAAGACCTAATAAGATGACACATTATAAAAGAAAAATAAAAATATTATTTATTAGTTTATAGCCCATAAGAATGATGATTATAAAATCAATTAAACTTTCATAGTAAAAATTCAAAATTATTGATCAATTATTTTAAGTAAATTATTATTTAAAAGATATTGTTTTTAGTTATATAAAATTTAATCATTGGTTTAAATAAATAAATGAAATTATATCACCTTATAATTTATATTAATTTTATTTTAATTTTAATTTTAATGTTATTAATTTTATGTAATTAAAATGGAAAATATAAATTTTGAAATTTGAAAGGGATGATCAATAATTAAGAAGTGACATGACATTATTTATGTGATCTAATAGAATAACACATGATAAATGTAGAATAAACATATTTTTGTATTAGAGTAAGAATATTAGAATAAGGATAAAAAAAATTATTGAATTATTTTTTTTCCTATTGTAAATTTAAACAAACAATTTAAATAAATAAACAAAAAAAATAATGAAACTTTAATTTTGAAATTTTGAAATTTTGAAATTAAAAAATAAAATGATTAATGATATTATTTGATATGCATGATTATATTTAAATATTATATACAATTTAATAAAATCAAAAAAATCAAAAAATATTATATAAAAAAACTAATTCAAAATAACTATAAAATGATATGTAATAAAATAAATATGAATAGAACACATGACAAAGAAGGATTTTATTTATAAGAACAAAAATTAAATAAAAATCATCTACTCAATAATTATATCGTTGTCGAGGAAATACTAAACTACAAAAACATTAGTATTTCGAACATGAAACGGGGTCTTTGAATTGTTGCAAAATACGGTGGAATGTGATAATGATGTTGGTCGTATTTTCGCTTTACATAGATAACGACTTCCTTTAGTCGTCTAATTTCGTTGCGCTTACTGTAGATGAGTAGACCTGGTCTGATCGACCCAACAGTACCTATCTATAAAACCCAACCCTAAACTCCACTAGTCATCCACAACCGCAATTAACACACATCCAGATGACCGGCAGCAGTTCATCTGTTCCCCGGCAACCGGCCGCTTCTGAAAGACAACGCCGTGATCGGATGAAACACCTCTACTCTACTCTTGCCTCTTTCCTTCATCAACCTTACGTACCTCTCTCTCTCTCTCTCTCTCTCTCTCTCTCTCTCTATGTTTCTTTATTTTTCTAACATCATACATGATACAGGAGAGGATGCCATTGCCAGAGTTCTTGGATCGTGCAACAAATGCACTGACACAGCGGAAGGAAAGAGTGGAAAGATTGAAGGCTAGGAAAGAAGAGCTTGAAAACGAGCTTAGATGTGCTTCAAATAACGGACAGAGTTTGCAGCTTGTTCGAGTGACTGAAATTGATTCGAAACTTGAGGTGAACTTGATCATCTCGGCGAATAACAAGAAAGCCAAGGCTTTTCGCGTATTGAGTGTTATAGAGCAAGGTGGTGCTGAAATTACGAACTCTAGTTTCTGCACTGTTGGTCAACTCATCTTTTGCACCATCCATGCTCAGGTAATTAACAGTGGTTCTATGAATTTCGAAAAGTCTTTATGTTCATTATACTATTAAAAAAAAAAACTTTCAGTTCAATCATTCCTTCGGTGCAGCTGTTTAGAATGATTGTTACACATACAAGTAAATATTTATAGTTTTTTTTTTTTTTTTTTAAAGAACAAAACCGCAGTACTTTTATTAAAATAAATAACAACTGTTATTGTACAGTATGACATAAAACTGGAACACGTCATAAACAAAATCTATTGGAACTGGAACATGCATTTCATCGTTAAAAGTCTTCCATCCAACACTTCATGTGTTCCTTTTAGCAAAGGTATTCAAAGGGATGGAAAGGCGCATCTCAACAATTTCATTGTTGTGTTGTAAAATAAAAACAAAAATAATAAAAACTTCATGCTTTCCTTTTAATCTATGCCTTGTTGCTGATTAGGCTACTCCAAACTGCATGCATATATGTGAATTTATCACCACTTTAACTCTAAAACTAAGCCGATGTATACAAATGCGTACATAATTAGCATAAGCAATAACATGTATCCAGCTTCATAGATAATGACTGCATTTTGTAAAATGTATGTATGCAGGCTTTTCAAGCTCGGGTAGGGTTCGATGTTGCATTGATAGAGTCCCGGTTGTTGGAACTGGTTTACTTATCATAAGGAATTGGGATACGATTGTCTGCTGAGTTATTTGATGCCACACAGTTATAGTAAGATTGCAGGATGATTAAAATATACGCATCAAAGCGGAAAAGATACAAGGTTGTAAATTAAAAGATTTTGTACGTAAGATATGTATCTTAGATTGTATTTGCACAAATATCGTGCGTTGGCTAATGAATAAAACTTGTGTATAAGTTCACAAGAAATTAATTTCAAGCATACAGAAAACACTAATATACACAACACATCAATAAAAAACAATGAATATTATATTTTATAACAAGAATGTAATAGAAATTTTACTAAGCGCCAGTCTTCATATTTATTCCGTAGGAAAGAAACATAAACTGAGAATAGCTTTTACAATATTTGAGTATGCAAGTTTCTTCAAAAGAATCAAAACTATTTTCCGGATACTTAATTCCGTAGAACAGGATGGATAACTTTTATAGAAAAATAGTAATTCTTGTCTTCGAATATTAAAAATTATGATTTTTGAACATTAGAATACACATAAAAAAAACTTAAGCTTTAGTGATGACAAAAAACATCACAATTGATGCCTCGTGTCGTAGCTAATACCTTTAGTGACCACATCTTGTCGCTAAAGGGTCGTTACTATTACCTCGTAGCTAATACTTGTTTATTGTCGCAAATGGCATCGTCTCTATTGATATTCCAGCCACCAGTCGGAGTTTTTCCGGCACTCTTCCCAAAATCAGGACTCGTCGCAATTGGTCAATGTCGTCCCTAAAGGTGTCGCTGCTAATGTTTTTTTTTTTTTTTTTGAAAATATAATTTATTTATGATATTATTTTATATGTATTAAAAAATGTAGATTTGATAAAAATACAGAAATAAATACATACCACATTACACAGAAAATCAATTATACCACATTACATAAACTATCTAATAAATCTAACATAAACATTAAATATATCATCCATAAACTATGTAATAAATCGAATATAACATCATCCATAACATAAAATAAGAAATACTATGTGTCTTTGTCTTCCCAATCGATGTTTTCCTCATTGTTGACTTGGTTCTTAAACAAGCAGATAATATCTCCAATTGTCATTACAAATGTCAGGTTTTGAAGAAAAGCATTTACATCAGCATTCTACAATTAAGTCTGACGCACATTAAGTAATTAATAATTTAACAAACTATGAAACTATCAAACCAACAAATGAATTAAGTCATCAACAGTTTAACAAACTATTAAACCACCAAATCAATTAAGCCTTTAACAATTTAACAAACGACCAAACTACCAAACTACTAAAAATTACTATAAATGCATCAAGTTCTTAACAATATAGAAAAACTACCAAATTCTTTAAGATTTAACAAGTATATATGTTGATTGTGGTGTTGACTGTCATTGGGATGGAGCGTTTGTACCCACTGTAGAAGGAGGTTTAGGCTCAATGCCTCTCACATGCCATCTTCGAGCACGTAACACTTTTTCAAATATTACGATCCAATCAATGAAGTATGGATCATCACCGGAGTCTACTATGTGTTGTATCTATAAAGCAACATCAGCAACTAACGCATTTTGTATTTTACAAAGATTGTCAACATACGTTAAAACTAATAACAAAAAAAAAAAAAAAAAAAAAACAAAAAAACAAAAAAACAAAACAAAAAACAAACAAAAAAACAAGAACCTAGTTCATTTGTTAGTAATAATAACTTACGTATTAGTCTTCAACCAAATGATAAATAAATTCCCCATTTTTATCCACATGCCCACGATGAAATGCTCTATGTTTATCCCAATTTTGTTCATGGTACAAAATATAATATACTTGAATAAACGTTAAAAAATATATTATAATTGAATAAACATTATTGTAACTTACTTTCATAAAACAAGCACTAACGTAGCTACACGTCCCTCCACGGTTCTTAAGTACTTGTTTCTTCCGACATTCTTTGTTTTTAGCATATCGTTTTTTATTCTTTTCTGTTAAGAAGTGGTTAGTAGCATTACTCCAATGTTGCTGATCCATACCCTTAGGGGCTTGAGCCCTCGTTGCCTCCACATCGCCTACAAAACCAGTAAAATGAGCTTTTGCAATATGTTTGTGGCCTCTATACCGTGCACATATCCGATTTTTCAGTGACGCCCAAATAACTTAAGCCATGGGATCATTTGAAATTGCTCCAAAATATAACCATGTCTACAAAATAATAGAGAAATTAATATAAATCAAAATTAAACATATTAAATATAACTTTATAAGTAATTTATCGAAAGATAGTGGAACATGCCAACCCTTTCGGCTTCAGAAACTTCTTTCCATGTGTCCTTATCGAAAGCGATGTCATGCCACATATAGCTTCCAACCTCCCGAATGAAACATTTGTATACTTCCCCAATCGGCATGTGAGTATTTATGTAAAATATTATCTTCAAAGGTCGTTTGCCATTAGCTGCAAATAACTTGTACATTTTTTTCTTTACTGATATCCCTCTTCATTTTAGAGCCACCGCTACATAAAAAATATTTGTCAAAATAATTTTTTATATACATACAATATGAAAATACAATGAAGTAGAATAAATCTTAATTATCATCGATATGGTGGTCACCAAAATCTCCATGGAACGGATGTGGTGGCTCGTCACCAACATACCCTCCATTGCCCATCATAGTAGCCATGAGATAGATCAATACAATAAAAAAATGACATCCTGTAAAATTATAACACAAGAAATAACCTCATTAACGATGTCTCCTATAGCGACAACAATAACCTTTAGCGGTGATGTTTTCTGATGTCGCCGCAAAAGGTTACCGTCGTCACTATAGACGACGTCACTAACGTGCTGATTTTTTGTTGTGGTAATTCTTCTAAACCAAGAATCACTATTTGTAACTCTAAAATAAATATTTAAAGATACTTACCACTTAGAAATATGTATCTAAAATCTAACACTTGCTCCTACCTGTCAATTCAGTAGCTGCTCAACCAATATAGGGGTTTTAAGCGAACTAAAATTTTGGGGCCCTTTGGCCTATACTATAATCCTCAATTGTATTCACATAAATGTGCACTCTTTAAGTTTTCTTCATGGACAATTTTGTTTGATGTAAATGGGTTTTCATTTTATAATAACCTAAATCAACAAGAATTTGATAAAAAAATTCTATATGATTCTTATAACACCTATTATACCAAAATTACATAACAATCTTGTTACTAAAACCTATCATTCACTATCAAGAATTTATGGTATTAAGGATAATATAGGTTAATCACATAGTTGTATTATAATCGAAAAAGTAATTGAGAGTGATATGACTAACGAATCAAATCATCCTAACATTGTGCTTTGTAGAACATTGATCAGTATGCTTAAGGATTTCTGGTTATTCTTGGTGAATAGCTTGAAATCCTTAATTAATTCATAAACTATTTCCTAAATCGTACCATCTAAAGTTTTTATGCATCAAATTCCCATATAGTTTCAGCACTCCATCACTATGGACGCCATAAATAATAGAAAAACAATGAAAAGACTTGTATTGAGTCATAAGATCCATAAATAAATTGTTATAAGATGTGATTTTAGTCATAACCATTTCAATAAATGATAATACATGTAGAAGACTTCTAATATAGAATCAAGAATCAAGATACACGAATAATAGAATAGATTAAGGAAAGGAAAATTGTCTAACAGTAATAGAATACTATGAAAGTGAAACATATAATGATGAGGATTTGAATCGAGAATCAAGTTAGATGTCAAAAGAATAGAATATGAATGTGTATTGCTTCGGAGTCGTTCACTTTGAAAACGGAAATGGATGGGAAGAATGTATTGCAAAAATAAAACAGTAGAAGAATAGAACGTCATTTTTGTTTCATGAATGCAGCAATCGTTGATTTGTTCTTCCACTTGATTTACTGTCACACCCCCGAACCAGACGGCGGAAACGTCCGGGGCTGTTGTGACTCAATTGAATACCATCACCATGAATATACATGAAACATAACATCATTCATCACCAAGCATTGGAATGATACAACTGGTACCGTTTACATCCGTTACATTGTCTCAAAATATTACATGCCCAAAAATAAATTGTTCATTGTTACTTAAACAACCGCAAAACATCATAGAGTACAATCCTTTCGTCACTTTATCTGTTACCTGAGAATACAAGTATTTTGGAAAAACGTCAACATATTAAATGTTTGTGAGTTCATAAGAAATGTTTAAAATCCAATGTTTGTATTGTTTTGAAAACCACCAGAAAATCCGATATTTTCTGAAAATAGTATAGTGTAAAAATATGTGAAGATCTGTGAGTATGCTTGTTTGTTTTCTATACATGTAAGCGTACGAGTTGTGAAATTCGACATGTAGTTCATAAGTGTACTAGTTGAAAACCCTAGGAAAACCCGACATTTTCCTATCACTTTGCTTGAATTAGTTTATGTGTTGTTGCTCCGTTACGTTTGAGGTATTCGTGGAGTTCCGGAGGCATTGAGTATACAGTGGGTGGTGAATTGTTGTAACGTACGTTAATGAAAACGTCCAGTTGACAACCGTACTAGCGATCCCTTAGGCGTCACTCGCACTTATTCACACAACTCAATCCTCCCGGACTTGTGTAGTCCCACGACCGAGGAGAAAAGGTGAAGGTACGAAACCCTCGGTATTTCCCTACGTCGTTCAAGACCATTGCAATTGCGAAGGGCCCGAAGCCCATCCCGCAATCGTGAGTTCCCGACTTTACTAGCAGCACCGAAGGACCCTTGGGGACCAACAGCACGTTTGCTATTGAAAGTCCTTTTACATGTGGTTAAGTCGTATTAGACCCAACTACATGTAAGCAAGTATCCTTTGGGCCTAAAGATCATGTCATTGGGCTAGCTAGAGTCAACAAGCATGATTTGCAACTTTTGGGCCTAAGGAGTGTACGTCGATGTATTGAGTAATTTCCGCGAGAGTATAGAGTTCCGAGAGTTCCATATGTGTATTGCGCGTAGTAGTGTTAGTAGTTTTGGATTTTTTTTTATTGATTCGAGACCGAATCAATTCGTTTAATAACGATTTTTGGTATTGTTGTGTATTGTGTTGGTAGTCGCGGTGTCAATATTTGATCAAGTTGCGTGTATTGAATTAGCCTTGAAAGTTTTCTGTTTTCAGCCCCTCATTGTTTGTAAAATTTACCTTTTCAACCCTCTAATTAAATAACTTTCCGGTTTGGTCCTTAAATCATTTTTCTTGACATTTTAACACCAAAATTTATTGAAATTAATATTTTTCAGCATATTTTTCATTGAAAACAGCTTAAGTCCCTAAAATTGCAGTTTTCTTGGTTATAACCCCTCTTTTTCGCAATTTTTACAATTTTGGCCCCAATTGGAAAAATTTTGCAACTTTGGTCCTTTTTAAATTTAAAAAGCATTTTAAACCTTTGAAAAGTACTTGTAACACTAATAGTCCACTGTTTTACAGAAAAATACAGTTTTGGCCCTCCAAAACAGAAAATTTCGCATAATGGGCCCTATTGGGCCGAAATTGTCATATTTAGCCCATTAAGCTTGAAATCTATATTTTTAATCCTCTAAAAGAGTATATTTTCAGAAAATACATTATGGAAACTGTTTTGACTCATCTCACCCATCAGATTTCGAAATATTTCATTTTAGGCCCTTCAACTTTGTATTTTTAACATTTTATGTCAAAAAAATGAGTTTTTAGCCCAAAGTATGTATTGTTAAGCCACCTAGCTATTTTTCTTGGTATACTTTGTATGTAATAGTATATCTTATGCTAGTATCATTTAACATAAAATATATCTCAGTTTTTAGTGATTCATGACTAGATGTAACATCATATTCATACAAAACACACATATAAGCATAGAAATCATACAAAGCATACACATAATGATAGATCTACACCTTTGCTTGTATTCTCCCCCACAAAAACGTATAAAAACCGAAAATAAGCGGGTATGAAGCTCACCTTTGGATGTTGATTCGGTTTTTGAAGAAAGGATGGAAGAAAACTTGGTGATTTTTGACCCTAGCACCCTTTGATGAAGATTTCGAGTTTATGGAGTTCTAATACACAAGTTTATGATTTCATGAGAGTTAAGAAGAGATTTTTGAAGATAAGAAAGAGTCCAAAGCATGGATCCAAGCATAACCTTACCTTAGATGATGATTTTAGTGGAGAATTTTCCTCTTGAAAGCCTCCTAATTTTCGAGATTTTTGTGTGGAGAGGAAAGAGGATTTCTTGAGTAATCTAGAGAGAGTTTGTGAGGTGTGTGTGTGTGCTACTCACGGCCGAACAAGAAGATGGAAAGAGAGAGATAGAGTTGCATGGAGAAATGAGATGGCATGGAGGTTTGGAGGGTAATGCATGTATAACCTCCATATAATAAAGAGGTGGCATGCATTAGTCAACCCTTCCTCTTCTCTTCTTGGATTTGGGCCTTGGGCCGAGAACTTGGATGGAAATGGAAAGATTTGGGCTTTAAAGCCCTAAAGCCCATATAGAAGTTAAGTTGGATGAGTTTTGATCTAAAAGAAATATAATATGATCTTCACACTTGGTTGGGCTAGTTTAAGTTAATCATGGATCAAAGCTTTTAATTCATTTCATTCTAGGCCCAATATGGCCCAAAATATTGAAATAAATAGAAGTGGGTCCAATTAGAGCCCATTTAAGGGTTCTAAGCCCAAAATAGTCAAATTGGAAGCTTATTGGTCCATTGGGCCCAATAAGGAAATCGTAGTTCAAAATGGACTTAAACAAGGATTTCTAGGGTTTTCCAATTCTTTGTTGACTATTTGAACGTTTATATGAAGTGTTTGATTGAAGTTTTGTTGTTATTGAATAAGCATCCTACATGCTTTCACATTGTTGGTTCACATTTGTTATCATTGTTCAATGTTTACAAGGCATCAAAATTCCTAGTTATGACATCATCCCCCCGTTAGAGGGAATTTCGTCCATAAATTCTTTTTAAAGTTAGATTTGAGATTGCGAGAATAGGTGAGGGTACTTCTACTTCATCTGGTCTTTGCGTTCCCATGTGAATTCTGGCCCACACTTCACGTTCCACCGTACCTTCACAATCGGAATGCAACTTTGCTTAGTACGCTTCACCTCCTTGTCTATGATCTCGAATGGTTCTTCGATGAACAGGAGATTCTCGTTGATTTCTATTTCATCAAGGGGAATGATGAGAATTTCATCGGATACACACTTCTTTAGATTGGAAACATGGAACACGGGGTGTACACTACTGAGCTCAGCGGGTAGCTGTAGTCTATACGCCATTGGGCCCATTCGGGAAAGAATCTCGAAAGGACCAATGTATCATGGATTCAATTTTCCCCGCTTTCCAAAACGAATAACTCCTTTCTAGGGAGAAACTTTTAACAGCACCTAATCCCCGACCTGAAACTCCAAAGGCTTTCGTCGTTTATCAGTATAGCTCTTCTGTCGGTCGCGTGATGCTTGTAGTCGGGCTCTGGTTTGAACTATCTTTTCTGTGGTTTCATGTATGATCTCCGGTCCCATTAACGTCTTTTCTGATGCTAGTTCCCTCGCTAGCTGGGTGTCGCCTACCTCATCCAAACACAACGGTGATCCACACTTACGTCCGTACAGTGCCTTGAAAGGAGCAA